CATTTAGCATTTTTTTTTTTTTTATCCCATGCCAAAAACAAATAATACAGAACTGCAAGATTTAAACTCAGAATTCTGAGAAAAAAAAATTCAGAATTGCAAGATTTAAACTCCTGATTCTAAGAAAAAAAAGGCAGAATTGTGAGATTTAAACTTGGATTGTGAGATAAAAATCACATTTAGCTTTTTTTTTTTTTATCCTGTGGCAAAAACATATAAAGCAGAACTGCTAGATGTAAACTCAGAATTTTGAGGAAAAAAAATTCAGAATTGCAAGATTTAAACTGATGATTCTAAGAAAAAAAAGCCAGAATTGTGAGATATAAACTTAGATTGTGAGATAAAAATCACATTTAGCTTATTTTTTTATCCTGTGGCAAAAACAAATAAAGCAGAACTGCTAGATGTAAACTCAGACACTTTTTTTTCTTGTAATTCTTGGAGAAAAAGTGAGAATTGTGAAACATAAAATCAGAATTGTGAGATAAAAAGTAACATTTAGCTTTTTTTTTTTTATCCCATGCCAAAAAAAATAATACAGAACTGCGAGATTTAAACTCAGAATTATGAGGGAAAAAAGTCAGAATTGCAAGATTTAAACTGATGATTCTAAGAAAAAAAAAGCCAGAATTGTGAGATATAAACTTAGATTGTGAGATAAAAATCACATTTAGCTTTTTTTATCCTGTGGCAAAAACAAATAAAGCAGAATTGCAAGATTTAAACTCAGAATTATGAGGGAAAAAAGTCAGAATTGCAAGATTTAAACTCAGAATTTTGAGGGGAAAAAAGTCAGAATTGCGAGATAAAGTCGCAATTACTTTTATATGTTTTTATTCCATGGTGGAAACAAGCTTGAATATATTCTGGGGGTTATAGTGAGGATGAAAAATGGTCATATAAAACTAAATTATGACTGATTTTGTTGCAAAAAATAAATAAAGTAAATAAAAATAAATATTAGGTTACTAAATAGCTATGATATGACCCCTTTAACACACCTTCCCATTTTAAAATGACATCTCAAGAGGCCTGTCCGGTAACAGCTCGCCTTCAGTTCTGGATGTCCGCCAACATGTCTGAATGCAGTCACCTCTATTTATAATACAGAAGAGCCCTGTTCATTCCTATCTCTGTCTAGTCTCTTCATGTTTACTCACAGATACTGTTTGCATTCACATTTCATTCTTACAGACACTGAATTGAACTGTGTTTGCATTGAAAACACTACAATAACCCAAACTGCAGATGCAGTGCTCATGTCATTATTGCTTCTGTTTGAGATATCCATTGATATCCATATCAGCATTCTCATTTAGTTAGTATGTAACATGTAGCATTAAATTACACTAAAGCTGCTCATGCATAATCTTTTGTGACAGACTTCTAGTTAGAGTATTAGTTACGATTTACAAGGACACGGCTATAAAAATATTTCTTAAATGAGTCTGACTTCAGGTTTTAATGTAAAAATTTGTTCAGATTTTAAAATAATTAAGGCCTCAAACATTCAAACAATTAATTTTACATAACATAACAGTAACACTTTACAATACGGTCCCATTGGTTAACATTAGTTAATGCATTAACTAACAATAAGGAAGACATTTGTTATTTTATTTATTAATCTTAATAATACTAATATGTCATATCTAATCAAATATCTTTCTATACTAATCTAAATTATGAAACGTTAGTTAATAAAAAGATACATTGAAATGAACAAGTATTTTTTATTGTTAGTTCATGTTAACTAATGTTAACAAATGTAATCGTATCATAAAGTGTTACTAATGAAATATACTGCATCTTCCTCTAAACAGAGTTATTATCCATGCAGTTCCATTAGTGGAAAAAAGCCACAGCTTTAAATTAGCTCATCTTGCTTCTTGTTTAAGTCAAAATTGATTCTTATATAATGAAACGAATGCACTTCAGAACAAAGCACTGCTTGCAATGGAGAAAATTCCTTGTACCTCGTCATAGTTAATGACAGTTGCGGTGGGAATGTTTGGTCCGAGCGGGCGGCTCACTTCCCCCCCATAATTCGGCTTCTATGGAGGACAGGATGAATGACGGTGATGTAAACACAGACACTAGTCACACATCAATACAAATGTGTGATAAATAGTGTTTCTATAGTGTTACTCAGACAGGAAACACTCCAGTGTGTACAGTGTTAATACGATGCATGATGCACATTTGACACATGCAATGTGTTAGAATGTGAAAACAGATTCTTAAATGGGATGCAAAGCCACTAAATGATGCATGGAGATATACAGACCACAAACAGAAATGAAAACAAAAGGTTTTCATTTATAAATGACAGTCAGCAATACTGACACTTAAAATCAACATGAAACACCTGAACATGAAACAGCCTGATGTGAAACAGGATATTTAATGAGAAAAGAGGTAGGTTTGATTTCATGTTGACTTTAAACATAGATTTAATTTAAGTCCAAATTATAAACACCCTTACAGAACACCTATTTACAGGACTATGATATAAAGTACAAATATAAATATAAATGCAAATGCAAAAAATAATTAAAAAGTAGAAAAAATTGCAAGCATGCATGTGAATTTTACTTCACAAATGCCATTATAGCAATATATCAAAATAATAAAAAATTAAATATGGTGTCATGAAGGAATTACAAATCCGTATAGATAATTATATAATTATCTATTTATAAACCCGTCTGTAATTCTCACATGGCATCATATTTCTACAACAAAAAGTATATTTTTGTTATATATTTTTGCATTTGGTACAAGCCAACCAAGAGTTAGATTCAGTTTCAAAATCAAAAAGAAGCTTAAAAGCTTATTAAGAACAAGAGAGAAAAAATAATATGTTTTTGCTAATATAATTATGAAGTCCTAGCTATTTTGTCATCACAGAGATTTATTTTAGAGTATAGCTGTGGTACTCAGAACATGTTATTTAGGGGATATTTTTCTTCCCTATTCCTTCTCCATCTCCTTCAATCAGTGTTTTGTGTAACTTAACTATTACGAACAATGATTAAACCCTCAGTAATAGTGTCTCACATAAAGAAACACATAACTCAAAGTAAGATGTTCAGAAACAGCAAAATCTTCAGTGAACCACAGAAGATGAGCAATTCGATATCTATCAATCCTGGAAAAGCACAGCTTACTTTTTGTACTACACACTGGTCAAACAAAACCCCTTGACACCATGTACCTGCTGCCCAAAATGAAGCTGTTCATCTTTAAATCGCAACTTCTTCTCAATATCTTGTAAAAGCGTTTCCTTGCTCTCGCGGATGTCGTCATCAGACATGAGTCTGGAACCTCTTTGATTCTTCTTCAGTGCACCTTGAGGCCTGAACATGGAGTAACACAAGACTGAGGTAAGCCATTAAAATAGGATACAAATACATCTTGAAATATGAGACACATAGAAATTCTGCTGTAAAACAGCTCTAAAAAGACCATAGTGTCATTATTTGGCTCAAATAGCCAGTTCAGTCTAGTCACAATGATTAACAGCCCATTGGAGTGCTATCATTAGATTAGGCTTCAGCTATCTGGAATATAGTGCACGAGTCATATAGACCACTTTTATGGTACTGCATCCTTTCTGAAACTTGAGAGCCCCAGTTCTCAACTCACATTCGTTGTATTGAAAAAAAACAGCCAGGATATACAAAAATCCACCAGAAGAAAGAAATTCATATGGATTTGGAACATGAGGGTGAGTAAACGATGAATCAGTTTACATTTTTGGGTGAACTATCCTTTTAAGAGAAAGTGTGACTCTTTCAAACCATAGTATGATATTACAATATTATAATGTAGAGGTCTTCAACCCTGCTCCTGGGGACCCACTGTCCTGTAAAGTTTATTTCCAACCTGCTTCAGCACACCTGAAGAACTTGATTAGCTTGATTAGGGTTGAAACTAAACTCTGCAGAACAGTGGCCCTCCAGGAGCAGGGTTGAAGACCTCTGCTATAATAAAATGTATTTGTGTTTGCTTACCCAGGTGGGGCACTCTTAGGCAACCCCATGGCATTGGTCAGAGGAGATGTTGGAAGTGAAGGAAGGACTGAACTAAGGAAGGCCACTGGATTTTGGATGGGGCTAGGGGTGGAGCTGCTAGACGTTGGTGAAGAAGCTTGTGGGGGTGACTGAGGTCTAAAAGAAAACATTGAATTCACCAGCCCAGGAGGCACTAGAGGTGGTGAGGACACATATGGTGGGCTGCTTGGACACTCCAGAACTCTTGTTGGGAACTTTCTTGGGGACGGAGATAACTGGTTGACGGGCGACATGAGCTCCCGTGTCGACTTCGGGAATATCTGTGCAGCTAACTGGTGGAGCATTGGAACAGGAGACTCGGTTGGGGAAGGACTCCTGATAGGAGAGAGCATCTGGGCAGCGATGAACTCCTTTGGCCTTGTGTAGCTGAAGCTCTGGGTGGAGATTGGAATAATCCCAGGAAGTGGAGGCTGGGTGTCGTGCAACGGAGGTGGAGACATTGGACTCGGGATGGGTGCAGGTTGATTTCTCACCAGATGCGGTGAGGTGAGTTTACTCAGGGATGGATAAGACACAGCTTGAGAATATGTGACTTGTGGAGCCATGCTAGGATGAAAATTTGAGGTGGTGTTTATCTTTGGTGCAGTGTTGTACAATGCTAATGCATCAGGTATCATCAATGCCTGTGTTCTGGCAACACTCGTGTCACTAACGGGAACAGAGTTCATTTGCAAGGTTGGATTCATGTTTATTTGTGAAATATGAGTGGAAGGAGTAATGGGTGGCATGTTGGCCACATGGTTAGGTGGTTGGGTTGTTGGAGCCATGATAAGTTGATGAAAAGGTGCAGAAGGTCCCACATTTGGAGGGATAGGGATGTTGGGAGCTATTCCGGGCTGAGTTATTGGGATTGTTGGTTTCACACTTGGCATAGGGGTGACTGGAGCCACATTGGATGAGATTGGCCCCATATAAAGCTGAGGAAGAGTGGAAGCCATATTTGTTTGGGTTAGTAGGGTAGAGGGAATCATACCTGGTGGAAAAGTACTTAAAGTAGTAGGAACCAGATTTGGTTGAGGTATTGGAGGGTGGTTGTGTAAGGTTGTGGCTGATGGAGTAAGTTGGGGCAAGGGCATGGAATTGGTTAAAGGCATGCTCAGTTGGGATACAGGTACAGCTTTTAAAATGGGAGCAGGTGTTGTAGGAAGTAGAGGGACAGATTCAAGGATCGGCAGTGGAATTGGAGCAGAGTTCATTACAAGAGGAGGTGGTTGGAGTGGTGATGGCGCTGGATTTGCAGGTTGAGTTGGCTTGACAGGCGTTGGCTCAGAACTTGTCCCGTCTAAATGTGGTGAATCTTGGCTTGGGGAAACATTTTCTTGCTGCTGTTCCAAAACCACCTGGCTGTGGAGGATCTGTAGCTGCACTGGGTCTCTAAGATAAGACATAATAAGGGGAAAACAAACATGTTGGGTCTACTTCAGAAGGTCCTAAATGTAATTTTACTCTCAAGTTGTCTTGCAACACACTCTGAAGTTGGTACTCACAATTTTGGTTTAGCCAACACTGGTGGTGGTTCTTTGGATGACATTCCTTTCTCTTCCTCTTCTTCATCCTCCGGGAGTTTAAAGGTTACGCGGAGACCGACTCGAGAACTAGAGCGGGATTCATTGTGATTCCCTAACACACCCTCAGGTCTTGTCTTGAGACAAGAAGTTGGGGGATCTGGTAGGGGTTTAACAGGTGGTTGCTCTTGATGGTTACTGGAGTTTACTGATGGGAGACTAGTAACAGAAGGGCTGGGGGTAGATTTTGAACCATTTGGTGATGGTTCAACCCAGGCATCGGAGGTCATAGTGATGCCAAAGGCTGATCCGTTTGATGGACTTTGGGTTACTTCTGTGGAAGGCTTAAAACCAGATCCTCCTGAATCAAAGTGTGTTGTGTTAGAGCTGAGGGGCGTATGGTTTGAGTCGGAGTTCAGTGAAGAAGAACTAAAGCTGAGAGGGTCTAGCTGAGGTAAACTAGTCCTGAAAGTATCTGTGCTGTATTTTCCAATGCTGAGAGGGTTTAGACTAGGTAGGCTAGTGGTGAGGTCATGGCGAAGGGTACTAGGATTTAGGGAATCTGAGCGAGGCGTTCCACAGTCCTGAGGGTCTGGATGCTTAAATCCAGAGCTCAAAGGGTCAAGGCAAATCATACTTGAGTGAAGCTTGTTGTTTACCAGAGGAACATCTTGCTTACACTTTAAAGTTGTTGTTATCAGTTCTGTTGCTGGAACCTTCTGGAGGGAGGATTCCACTGTTGTTTTAGGGTTGGTGTTGCTATTATTGTGTCCTATTGATGTAGACAAAATATTGTTCAGAATTAGTCTTGAGATGTGATATATGCATACATTTTTATTTCATTATGAACTTAAAGAGTTTAAGCAGTCTTAAGTGAAACTGATCCAATAATCGATTCCACAACAATAAAACAAAATTACCTTTTACTCTCAATGCTGCAGTACTGGAAATTGTGCCATATTTATTGCTGGCTGTACAGGTAAATGTTCCAGAATCCTCTGGAAAGACCTCCGCAATAACCAAAGTACATATCTCCTCTGATGTCCACACCAAACAGAGAAATGGTACACTGTTAGGTGGTTAGTGTCATGAAATAATTATCTTGACAAAGCAGGGGAAATCAAATCCACCTACCAGATTCAGCCATGGATCTTGGTTCTGGCGTGAAAAAAGCAGAATGTGTGGATTGTCAGATAACGATTTTTAAGAAGAAAAAGTCAAGCACTGAAAAGTTTTCTTACAAGTTACAGGTTGAAACATTTTCAGCAGTAGAGGTGGAGTTTTCAAGGATGGATCCAACCACATATCTAAATACATTACGCACTAAAATTATACATACTCTTCTGGAGGATCCTGAAGTCTGGAGAATCTTCAATAAGTGTTCCTTCCCGGTACCAGTCCACTTTAGGGGAGGGAATGCCTTTTACTCTGCACTCCAGAACTACCAACTGACTCTCTACAGCCAGGACATCCTGGAGGTTCTGCACCAAAAGAGACAATGGTGTCCAATGACAATGAGATAGAAAACATGTAAAAACTAGATTTTTATATATTCTAAAGATAATAACTACTGCCATGAGAATTTTTGGATTCCAGGCCATTTCTACTCTATACACTGTCTGAAAAAATGGTGCCTTTAGAGGTACATCAGCTTGTCACTGGGGCAATACCTTCAAAGGGACACCTTTGTACCTTCTTTACCCCTAAATGGTATTAGTACCCTGGAGTAGTAATATGTACCCTTAAAGTAGTAATATGGACTTTTATGGTACTAGCATGCACCCTTTAGGTACAAAGGTGTCCCTTTGAGGTTATTGCCCCAGTGACAAGCTGTTATACCCCTAAAGGTACCATTTTTGCGAGAGTGTACAGTGGATTACATGCATTTTAAAGGGTGTTCTGTGGGGTAGACAGGGCATTGCTAGGTGGTTTCTTACTGGTCACTGGATTTGCCTGTTTTACTGCCTGCCAGGCAAAAATCGCTGATTGCATACTTAGGTTTATAGCTGGATTTGGGCAAGCATGCATGCAAAAGGTTAAAACACGTCAAAATATTAAAATACTTTTTTTCCCCCAAGCATTCATTTATACTGAATTTCATTGACACTCAATGTCATACAAGATTTAGAAATACAAGCCGTGTTTGCTTTACCTTTGTAAAAACAGGAGCTGCCATTATGGGCCTTACATCGAAGCTTTGAAGATAACTACTGCTGCCATTTAGATTCTGGAAAAAAAACACATGGAATGTAAGAAAAACACATGCATTAGTGGGAATAATCAAAACTGGGGATTTGGTGTGTTTTTGTACCTCAGGATTGCTCTGATGAGATGTTAACAGTATATCAGAGACACTTTGGCTGGATGGAGGTGATGGTGGTGCAATGGTCAGTGAAGGAATAGGTGGAGTGGGCTCCACCTCAGATATTGGCGTTGGAGGTTCTAGTAAAGCTACGGTTGGTTCTAGTACAGGTATTTCAGAGCTGACAACTTCGGAAATCAGAAATTCTGTATCTTCCTGCTTAGAGGTTGGCTCAGTCAGTGGCACTTCTTCTGCGTCAGAAGGTGCTGGTGGTTCAGCGCAGGTGTTTGTTATAGTTGGTGCGGTTTCTTCAGCAGATGTACTGGGCTCTACCGAGACCACAGCAGGCTTGGCTCGAGGAGATCTTTTATGGAGTATGGAAAAAAAATTTGTGAATGTGTTTTTAACCCCTGGGGGTCCATGAAGTTAATTTAGGGGGTTCATATATATATATATATATATATATATATAGTATATGATGTGCTTCAGTAAATAAATAAATAAAAAATAAATAAATAAAAAAAGGTTTCGCCAGTGGTCTTGGACTTTGCACAGATACCATCATTTAACATGCATGCAGAATCATACAAAAGCACAAATTTTGATGTACATTTTTTTGTGCATCAGATTTTTTTTTAAATGTTCGGTTCATTTAATTCTTTTCACGTGACTTCATGTTGGAAAATCTACAAACTCACTGTGCTTGAAAATGTTGTTCTACATCAGAATCTGACGAAGATGCTCCTAAAAGATAAAGAAAATATATAATCTTAATTTCAAACTGCAGCTGCAATCATTTAGTCATTCATAATAATGGTCAAAAATGATTTAGTGGCACTTCTTCTGCGTCAGAAGGTGCTGGTGGTTCAGCGCAGGTGTTTGTTATAGTTGGTGCGGTTTCTTCAGCAGATGTACTGGGTTCTACCGAGACCACAGCAGGCTTGGCTCGAGGAGATCTTTTATGGAGTATGGAAAAAAAATTTGTGAATGTGTTTTTAACCCCTGGGGGTCCATGAAGTTAGTTTAGGGGGTTCATATATATATACTTGAAAATGTTGTTCTACATCAGAATCTGACGAAGATGCTCCTAAAAGATAAAGAAAATATATAATCTTAATTTCAAACTGCAGCTGCAATCATTTAGTCATTCATAATAATGGTCAAAAATGATTTAACTTACCCTCAATGTAGATTTCTGCTGAGGTGGAGTCTGTGCCATAAAAGTTGGAGGCAAAGCACGAGTATCTGCCCGTGTCTTCTTCAAACGCCTCTGCTATGATCAGAGAGTGTCGCTCACCATTAGCGATGATCTGAATATCGGGACTGTTTTCCAGCTCTTTACCCTCACAAAACCACCTGGAAAACACAATCAGAATGTTACATCCTGAGCAGGAACACACATCTATAAGAACAGACAAACAAAACAATAAATTCATGAATGAAAATCTAAAACACGCAACTGGTTTTCATTTGCCCTCAGTTGAAAATCCAATGAATGTACATTTAATTGTATACTGACATTAACAGACTAAAACAAAGATCTAAATGTTTCAGGCCAGGTCATTTACAACAAAAATACAATGCATATTTAACTCATTATTTGAACATTTTAGGTGTGCTAGTGACACTAAATCGATGGCTTTGAACACTGTTTGCTGTCTTGTAGGTGAGGGAGTTCATTAAGCATTACAAAACAAAACTAAACCACCTTTAGTCACCAATATTGTGTAACTTTTTTCAATTCATGGTCGACAGCCAAAATGTGCACCATGTAAAAAAAACAACAAAAAAACAAGACTGTTGGCAGAATTTTGCAAAATGACACTTATGTTAATCATCGAAGCAGACATAAATTGCATAAAATCTCAAACCAGCTGATTATTATCAAAATTTTCAGTCTATCACTATCACACTCTGCAAACTAATTAAACGTATGGTTAAAATGCAGAATATTGAATATGATTAATAGCTTTTGGACATACGAAATGGTGAAAACTGCCTAATTAACGTTAAAAGTAAAGATCACAAATATCTTTACTAACAAAAAATAATCCATTTCAATTTTTAGGAACGTTTCTCTTCAAAAACTAGTTGATTAGCAACAGCTGTTTACTTTCTAATTTTCAAATTAACATTTGACAACAAAAGCATGTAGAAAACTTCAGAATTATGGTTAATACCAGCAGTAAATGCCATTAAGAAAAACTATCCAACATGGAGACATACAGCAACATTTTTAGTCACTAAATGGATGAATGACACCAGACACATTGTATTTTCATTGCATTTACTCTATTGACATACTGACTTTCTTCAGTCATTTAAAGGCAAAAATCAGTTAATAGACTTACAGTTGTTGGACTATTAGATATCAAGTTGCTAAGGTGAGGTTGAAGCCATTTACTAAAGAAGTTATTTTTGACATGTGACCTTGGAGCACAAAAGCAGTCTGAAGTCGCTGGGGTATATTTGTAGAAATAGCCAACAATACAATGTAATGGGTCAAAATTATAGATTTTTCTTTTATGCCAAAAATCATTAGGATATTAAGTAAAGATCATGTTCAATGAAGATTTATTATACATTTCCTACTGTAAATATATCAAAACTTAATTTTTGATTAGTAATATGCATGGCTAAGAACTTCATTTTGACAACTTTAAAGATGATTTTCTCAATATTTAGATTTTTTTGCACCCTCAGATTCCAGATTTTCTTATTTATTCAGCTTTCAGATGATGTATAAATCTCAATTTTGAAAAATTGACACTTAAGACTGGTTTTGTGGTCCAGGGTCACGTATATCATGGTGTGTTAAAGAAGATATTCAAAACCCATTCAATGTGTCTGATCTCACAAATCATCCAAGATCAGTCCTCTGCATCAAACACACTACATCACAAGACAAAGTACAACAGCATTCATTCAGTAATAAATCAATGGGCTAAAATAATATTCTTGAATCCACAAATATAACTTCACCACAGCCTTACCTAGAATGACTGTACGAACAGTTATTTCACTTCGACTCCTGCTGTTTCCTAAAATTCCCTCCATGAAATTTAAAGCACTTCTGAAGACACAAGTTGTGGTTCATTCCATGGGCGAGACACGATGGCTGAAATGTATTGGGTTTGATCCATGAGCCAGTGAGGATCATTTCTAATGAGTAAGACTCTACTTTGAAAGCCTGAGCTGCGGGGGAAAGACATCCAGCACTAGATCTGCACCTGTTCGGGCTATTTTCCTTCTCTACTCACCCACAGCACAGGAACCCCTGTTAAAACTGGACGCCAGCATCCCTGACCGACACGCATGAGCTAAACATAGAGCGGCCTCTCATACAATCACCAACACGGCTAATAGATCTGTTAGATATTTAGCTGGCATTTGAGAAACACTTGACTGTTGCAGGCATGTTGTAATAACTAAAATGTGGATTTTTTTTACATTTACTTATTTAGAACTTAAAAAGGTTTAAGATTTTGGAAGATTTACTACAAAGAAAAATGAAGGAAAATGTTTCTAGAAAGTCATGTGATTCTTTGTAGAGACAGCCGGATGAACATTCTCATATCATGCTGTAAATAAGATGTTGAAAAGTGCAGCAAGTTTGGGTCACTGGAGGGATGATCTAATGCTTCTGACATCACAGTGTCTCGGTCAGCTGACCTCGCGTAACACGACGCACGTCACCCGTCACAGACACGCTCAGAAAAGCACGGGTTTCCTTGACCTGTCAGTGTGGGAAGTTACACTAACGTTTCACCAATGACACACTGAGAACCATAATTATGTTTAGAAAGCATAATTTCTTAATGGAAATTACTTGATTCTTATATAGCCTAATTCATTATAGTATAAGAAATCAAGGTGTTTAACAGGTGTCTAAATAGCTTGAACATGCTAACGCTATGTTAACATATATCTTTCAGTTTTTTCCAAGATATCTTTATGCTAACAGAAAATGCATCAATTTATGTTTTTTTTTAATGTAATAAGTTATTAAATAAAAAAAAAACATTAAATGCATGGTCAATTTAAATGTAGTTATTAAATGCAAAAATGTTAAATGCATGATCAGTTTATACAAAGTTATTCAACGCAAAAATGTTAAATGCATGACCAATTTATATGAAGTTATTAAATGTAAAAAACCTTAAATGCATGATCAATTTATACAAAGTTATTAAATGCATGATAGGTTTATATGAAGTCATTAAATGCAAAAACATTAAGTGCATGATCAGTTTATACAAAGTTGGTAAATACAACAAAAGTTAAATGCATGATCAATAGGAAGTTATTGAATGTAAAAATGCTAAATGCACGATCAATTTATATAGTTATTCAATGCAAAAACTACATGATCAGTTTATACAAAGTTATTAATTGCAAAAAAGTTAAATGCACGATTAATTGATACAAAGTTATTAAATGCATGAAGTCATTAAATGCAAAAACATTAAATGTATGATCAATTTATACAAAGTTGGTAAATACAACAAAAGTTAAATGCATAAAAATAAAAAAATAATATATATATATATATATATATATATATATATATAAATTGAATAAAATAAAAGCACATAACAAAATTCATAAAACAAACTAAAATAAAAATAAAAGCTAATTCAAAATATGAATAAATACTATGTCTATGATAGTATATAAATAATACTAAAATAACACTGCACCATTTTAAACCCCCATAGTATGACTTTTTTGGTAAGGAAGGGACATTCATTTGTGTGGTTTATTTCATGAATTAAGACAGAAAAGACATTCATTGTGCCCAAGTAAACACTGCTAATCTATAATCATATCCGCACTAATTGTGCAATAATTTGCATAAATGCACGATCAATTTATATAGTTATTCAATGCAAAAACTACATGATCAGTTTATACAAAGTTATTAATTGCAAAAAAGTTAAATGCACGATTAATTGATACAAAGTTATTAAATGCATGAAGTCATTAAATGCAAAAACATTAAATGTATGATCAATTTATACAAAGTTGGTAAATACAACAAAAGTTAAATGCATGATCAATAGGAAGTTATTGAATGTAAAAATGCTAAATGCATGATCAATTTATATAGTTATTCAATGCAAAAACTACATGATCCATTTATATGAAGTTATTACATGCAAAAATGTTAAATGTATGGTCAGTTTATACAAAGTTATTAAATGCAATTTATGTATAGTTATTAAATCATGTTAAAAGCATGACCAATTTTTGCAAAGTTATGTTAAATGCAAAAAATAAAAGCACAACCCATTTATATGAAGTAGTGATGAAGTAGCTTCATAGTTCACTCAAACCTAATTTAGTCAGTTTTAAATCAGAGAATATGAACATAATGTATTATTAAGTCTCGTTGTAGCTGACAGTTTTTCCATCACACTGGAGAACTAAACCATGTATAACATGAGAGATGTTCAGTTTCTAGAGAAGCACAAGCTGAATATCCCACATTTCCACAATCTGAGTCACAAGTTATGAGAGACTGAAAGATCATAACTCTTTAAAGTTCATCCAGCTCAAGCCAGGAGCTAAAGTTCAACGCTTGTTATTTCTTCTCTTCTACAATTAGCTTTTAGTAAACATGAACATTATCACATATATAGATATGGAGTTTCATGACAAACACATTCACTATGTGAGTAAGAGTAAAGAAATCATTCAACTTATAAAAGAACCATGAGATCAGTGTTGTTATTGTTAACTAAAACTATTAAAAAATATTTTTGTAGACTGAAATAAAACAAATAAAATATAAATATAAATATTAGATGAAAATCATAAAATAAGTATAATTTGAACTAATAAAATTACTACAACTAAAACCAAAAAATAAATAAAA